CCGTCGCCGCATGAACCTACCGTACAGCACAAAGGTTCAGGCCCCAGGTCTGCCTGAGGAACACCACCACCGCGCGCTCCCCTGGGCCCCAGAGCTCTGCCACCGAGACCTCAGACAGGGCTCGAGCTAAACCGTGCTTCCCGTTCACGTTTTTCGTTTTCCTTCGTTATGTCTTCGCTCTGCGGAACGACGTCAAAACGAACACGGCCCACGAAATCCCCTATAGCACCGTCTAGCCCGAGCCCTGACCTCGGAGCCGTCGGAGGCCCGGCGCACCGCCTGGCCCGCCAGCGCCTCGAAGAGCGCCGCCTCGGCCGGCACCTCCCCCGCAGCGGTCGCGGGCAGCGCCGCGCGGGGCCGCCCCGCGTGCCAGCCGCGCGCGGGCGCCGGGGCGAACGCGGCGGCGCCGCCGCAGCGCAGCCTGGCCGCCCCACCGAGGGCCGCCAGGGCCGCGGCGGTGGCGGCCGCACGCCACGCGCCGCGGCCGCGCGGCGCCCGCGGGCCCGCGCGCGCGCGGGGCGCGCGGGCGCCGGCGGCGGCCATGCCGCCCGCGGCGCGGCGCAGCGAGGCCGCGCGGCGGACCCTGAGATCCAGGCGTCGCGGCCGCTCTCGCTCGGGGCGGGCCTGCTGGGTCTCGGGGCACCGGGCCTCCCGGGGGGCTCACTGGTGGGCACTGGGGATGACAAGGGTGCAGAAGGCCGGGGTCCAGGGCTCTCCAGTCGCGGTTTCTGACGGTGCTGTTTTTGCCGCGACGTCGGACCTCAGAGGATGGGGGGGGGGGGCCTAGCGGAGGGAGAAGGCCTGGGCAGCGCAGATGGGGCAGCGGGGGCGGGCTCGCCGCAACCCACGGGGCGCCCAGGCCCTGCCCTGGCCAAGGCCGCGACCCTCTCAAGGGGCGATCTTCGGTTGTTTACATGTCTGTGCGCTCTTCCCGCTCCTGTCAGATCCCAGTGCGGCCCCAGCGGAGCCAGGGCCTTCCCCTGGCGCTGCTAGCAGCAGTGCTGGGCCCATTTACTTTTCTGTTTTTGTTCGCAGGCAATCGCGAGTCACTCGCTTTTTCTGTGCGCGTGGGAAGAGACCCGCAGTACCCCCTAGTTGCCTCGACCGCGGCTTGGTACCAAGCCGCTGCGACAAAGACATCCAAAAAGTGTTCCTGCCTGTCTCCTCGGGGCGAAGTGGAATTCAATGAGCGACGAGTCGAGGAGCAACAGCTGGGAGTGGAACAGGCTGAGGCCCGAGGACGCCCGAGGAGGAAGTGGAGGAGGCAAATCGAGGCTCGACTGTGCTTGCTCATTCGTCTCCTTCTCTGGGCCTCCGCAAGCCTCTGGGGGAGTCTCAGAGACCTCCAGGGTGGAGGGTGGATGGCAGGAGCGAGAGTGACAGAAGGCACGTCTGGGTCCAGCCGCCAAACCCCCCAAAGAATACGCACGACAACAAAAAACACCCCTCCACCCTCCTCTCGGCTATACACACGGAAGAGTGACCCTGGGTAAGAGTGACCTTTTTTGGTGCGCGGCTTTTGGGTAGCCGCGGGGGAACCAACCACAGGGGGGCAAGCAGCTACTATCGCATCGCGCTCGGCGATCGGGGGATCCCATTGGGCCCGCACCAAAGGTCACTCCGGCGAAAGGTCACTCTTACGTCGAGTCGGTCCTCTTCCCCCTTCTCGTCGTCTTCCTCCCGCCGCTCCTTCCCGTAGAGCGCCACGTTGAGGACCACCATCAGCGCGCTCGTCGCCAGCAGGCAAACGCCAGCCACCGCGATGGCGACCAGCGTCCTCAACGTCAGGCGCAACGCATTGCCTGTCCTCCCGAGCCCCTCATGGGCGAACTGAATGGCTAGAGAGAGGGGGGCAGAAGATGGCAGAGGGAGGAGGCGGAGGCGGAGGAGGAGGGGAAGGGAGGAGAGTGGAGGAGGAGGAGGAGACGGAAGGGGGATAGTTCTTCAATTCGACCACGCCGACACGCCCCACCCCCCAGACACACACACACACATACCAGCGAAGTTATACAGATGCTAAAAACAAGGGTCAGTAGTAGGCGGTCTTCGAAGATTCCTGAACTGGCCCCCGCAAGAGTAATGCATGCACTGGACACAGATAAGGGGAAGACTCTTTGCCGTCATCATAATTAACACCAATTGGCTCTTGTTCGGTTAACTTGAATGTTGGGGCACCGTTACATCTGCCTTGACCAAGCTTGCAGACACTGCGGGCGGATTTCCAACACGACGAACACGACCAAACTCTCCCCTCCGAATGCCAATCGTGCGACGGCCCAAGGTGGGCCTGGGAGCTGACGGAAACTTCAGTCACTAGACATCCGTAAAATCGAGCTCCAGAACGAGGGGCCGCTCATCCGCGCCCAGCTGGCAGACAGAGCGCAAGAAGATGTGGTGCATCCCAGAAGTCTAACCCCTGTCAGTGTGACAGGATTTCGGGTGACGACGAGTGGCCTGGCGCGCGACAGCATCGGTGATGCCACTTTTAAGCGAAGGGGCTTTCTCTTCAGTAAGGTCTGGCATATCTTTCTAGTGACCTTTAACTTTCAGCACGCCCCCAGCCCCTGATTTGAGCAGCAGTCCAGTGTAGGGGCGTCGATCGGACAACTTGGCTATGAAGAGCTCCAGCGCTTGACGCACAACATTCAGAGACTCGGAATACAATGGGGGCGCGGCTGCAAGAAACTCTCGCAAGAAACCCAACCCTGACAACCCGCGCGCGAGATGCACCGGAGGAGAAACCAGGAGCACCCTGAACGCAGCGCGCAGAGCGAAGAAACCCAAGATACCCTGACTAAAATCAAATAGTTTCGTAATTCGCGCCCCACTGTAAATCGGGCTGCCTCTGGCTCGGCATTACTACCACTGATATAAAGACAACAAAACTCCGTTTGCGACATCGCTCGGACCTGATCATTGCAAACACGGGCTGACGGAAGTGAGGTAACAATTTACTTTCAGATCGGCACTCGTGAACATAACATGCTGTATAACCAGCCGCAAGTGCCACTTCAGAACCGTTGGAGACCGACGGTCAGCGGAAACTCGACGCCAAACTGATCTACGACCGTAGTGAATGCTGGCATGGACCATCCTATCCTGCGTAAACTCGCAGCATGACAGACAAGCGTCCTGCATTTTTCTCTCAAGACGCTGGCCCAGGAGCGCGGAACACCGTTTCCTGAGACTCTCGAAACTCGCCCCAAGAAATTCTAGACTGATGACTCCGACTACTCAAAGCCCAGACTTCCTTGGCGTACCTGATGAAAACGACCACTGGTCCGTAGAAGAAAAAGGTCCGATCCGGGAGAAGGGTGGACGTGAGTGACATGGAGCCCGACTTCGGCCCCAAACATCTCCCAACAAGAGACTCCGACTACTCAAAGCCCAGACTTCCTTGGCGTACCTGATGAAAACGACCACTGGTCCGTAGAAGAAAAAGGTCCGATCCGGGAGAAGGGTGGACGTGAGTGACATGGAGCCCGACTTCGGCCCCAAACATCTCCCAACAAGCTCTCCCAACCAAGCTCGTGACCCGAAATCCTGTGATCTCCAGCGCCGTAGCAACACATCTGCAGCGGATCAATGATGAACAGCAGCGAACGCTACAGCTTGGTTGGTAGTTTTGAACAAGGGGTCCTCAGCTTGAACACTTCAGGGTAATCGGGGACCGACGGGGTCTGCCACCAGTGCGGACAATACCAAGATTGGCTGCAAAGAAAAGACTTGGCCTCGAGCCAGAGAATCACATTTCTTTAAATATTGGCGACGTGCTTGCTCGAGGCGACGAAGCAAACCTTCTCCTCAGGGAGAGGTGGAGGATGAGAAAAAGAGGGAGACAGAAGAGGAGAGGGGACGGAGCAGGAAACGGGAGAGGCTGGAGGAAGTGGAGGGATAGGAAGGATGGGGAGCAGGTTGAGGAGGCGGGATGAGGATGCATCGGCGATAGGGCGCGGTCCTCTGACCCTGTCTGCTCTCGCCCCACTCCCGCGGCCTGAAAGGAAGGCGAGCGGTGCAGAGAGCAGGTCAAATTCGGACGGGTTTAGTCCGTGAACATCTGAAAGACTCCGAGGGCCAGCGGGTCTGGAGGATGCACCGGGCGCCGCGGCTGCTCCAGAGGGTTGCAGAGCGGCCGCTCCAGAGCGTTCCCGATCGATCCGAGAGCGGTCGGGAGGCTCTCGAGCGAGGCGTATCCTCATCTGAGGACTGCCCGATGTCTCAAGATGTCCAACTTCCCGTCGTCACGACAAGATCGCTTCGCGAACCCGCGGGCCCACAAAGGAATACCTGGCCGAACATCAGGCATACCGACAGGTGCGTCCGTTCCCCGCGTCGGTGATAGAACTGTGATTACTTGAGGAGAAACTTCTTGTCGCTGTGACCGGGTTGTCCGCGGAATTCGCGCAAGAGTGCACCCACGGACAAGTCCGCAAAACAGCACTACCCGTTGGTCGGAAAAAGTGGGTATAATCATTAAGCAGGAAGGCGTTGGGATTAGATTGGGCTTCAGCCCGCCCCCTGACGAAGGAGAAAGAGGGGAAACAGCTCGATCGTTGAAGTAGGAAGGTGCTTGGAGTAGCATGGAGTCTGGAAATCCAGAATTACCTACGTCCAACGACCGACGTGTAAGGGGAGGGGAGGAGGACGACAGGGATGAGGGTGCGAAAACTCTGCCCTCACAGCGGAAGGGGTGTCGCCGGGTCGGCGGTGGCCTCCGGCATAGCTCGCCCCAGGCCCATGCACGCAGCCCGCAGCGCTGGGCGGGCGGATCACTGCCGCTGAGGAGCAAATGCTGCTCCACGCTGCTGCATGAGCACCAGCACCCATGGGGGCGGACGCCAGGGGGGGGATGCCACAAGGGAGTTTGAGCGAAGCAGCTGCGCGCAGCGGGAGTTCCTGGCGGCGGGGCCGAGACCAGCAGCACGGAGCAGATGTCGGACCACCCCCTGTCTCAATCCCCACCCCTCGTCCGACCCGAGCTCCCCCATCACCCCGCCCGACGGCCCGTTCTGGGCCCCCCCCCCGCGCACCAAGCCCCACCCACGCCCCGCTAGAGGCAGCGCGTTCCACCCGACCCCCCCCCCCGCTTAATGGACAATACCATCCACCTCGAGAAACGTGCAACACACATCCGAACAGAAGACATCGTCGTCGCCGCTCATATCGTTGTCGTAATTGCCGTCCTTCACAGATGCGCTCAACATAGGATCCCGGACCCCTCGCGGGCACCCTCTTGGCAGGCTATCCAGCCGCGTCAAGCCCGCGTGGCACCGACAACGAATCTCCGCGGCGAGCCCAGGGGGGAAGTGAAACAAACCTGCTGAGAAGTTTTCTAAGCCTTCCCCGAAAACAGAATCAACTTCTCAAAAGGCGCGAGGGCTTCTGAGAAGACCCGCAATCTTCTGAGAAGGCCTTCTCCGTCTCACTTCCCCCCCCGCTCGCCGCGGAGAACCCGAAACAAAAACGTCGTCATTGTTGTGGGCGTCTACCCCCTCCGGGCGGGGATGGACGCCGCGACGCCCGATGGAGGCGGCATCTGCCCTCACCGAGAGGGTGTTGGTCGCAAAGCGGGACCAGAAGGTCTTCCCAGAGGAGGCGGGGACAAGCCAGACGATGCCGAGAAGAGGAGATAAGGAGGGACTCCTCCTCCTCCTCCTCCTCCTCCTCCTCTTCCTCCTCCGTAGCCATTTGGCTCCAGATGCCTGCACAGTGGGCGCTCCGCGCCTCCCTGCCTGCAAGGATACCGCTAGTCCGCGGCAGTCTTCCAGTGCCTCCGCCTGGCCTGCCCCAGGTGAGGAGCCCGCCACCCGTGTGGCGCGCCGCTCGCGTGGCATGGCTCCTCCTCCTCGCGGCAGCGGCGGCGCTGGCGCTGGTGCAGCGAGTGAGTCGGCTCAGGGGACGAAGTGGCGTTGCAACCGCTGCCACTACAAGAACCTGGGCTGGCACGCGAAGCGTCGGCAGGCGGGGTGCCTGGGCGGTCGGCCGACCAATCGTGGTGTGCCTGCTCCTCGTGATGTTCCTCCTCCACCGCGCGGGGCTTGGGCGCACGGTGCTGGCGACTCCCGCCCGTGGCACGTCGCGCAGAAGCCGAAGCGTGGAGGTGGCGGGAGCTCTGGGGCGCAGCCGCCCAAGCTCTCGCCCGAGGCCCGTGACCGTTTCCTGGCACTCAACGAGACCGACTTCGAGCTGCTGTCCGTCACGCTGTCCGCCAGCGACAAGCACAGCCTGCGGCAGTCTCGCTTCCTGCTGCAGCAGCAGCTGGGCACGCTCTCCGAGATCAAGACGGTCAAGTCTGCGCAAGTGGTGGCGGACGAGGCCTGCAAACGGCTCCAGCAAGCCGGGGTGGACCACGAGAAGAAGCAGAAGCTGGCTGCCGAGGTGCTCCAGGCGTCCTGCCTCCAGAAGGAGAAGGTCGCGCAGCTACAGGTCGAGCTCGACGCCGCCGGGGTCGCACTCCGAACCCAATCGGAAGGGCGGGCCGGGCGTTTCGTCTGAGATCCCCTTACCGGTTATGAACCACAAGCACAGCTTCACAGAAGGATGGCGGGCCGCTTCCAGAATGTAGCTCTCGCCATAGCTCCGCGCACACTCGTATCAACAAATTTCAAAAGTGGTTCACAGACTGAGAGCGAGTGGATTTCGAAATGTTGGTTTCGCCTTAGCGCCGCGATCCTTTTTTTTGTAAAACTGTGCAAGAGCTTCACTGATTTCGGGGCGGCTCATTGTCAGAATGTGCCTCTCGCCTTAGCGCCGCGCACATTCGTCAAACAATTGCAATAGTTTCACGGATTGAGGTCGGTTCGTTTTCAAAATGTGGCTCACGCCTTAGCGGCACGCGCAGTCGTTAAGAGAAATGGCGAGAGTTAACATAATTGAGGCAAACGGTGGCTCTCGTCTTAGCGCCGCGTGCATTCGTTTCAACAAGCTGCAAGAGTTCAAGGGTTCTCATGAAGTTGCAACGATTCAAGGTTGTCAGGGCGCCACAGTTGTATTGATTCGCGGTGTTGAAGTCCCAGAACAAGGTATTATGGCACGGTTGGGGATCGTCAAGACGCGAAAGTCAAGTTGACTCGTGGCGTTGAAATCCTGAAAATGGTGTTGGCACGCGTCAGCATCCTCAACCAACGGGGCACTTCCATCAGTGGAAATGAACACTTCTAGGGGGCTATGAAAGAGGGAGCTTGGAGGGAGGGTAGATTCCAATATCGTTCATGGGTCTTTGGTTTGCACTGGTGCTCCTCTACTCCTACTCTTTTTTGGCGTTGGGCAGCCTTGGGCCACGGGGCTGTGGCGTATCCCCTCATCCTCTCCCTCCCTCCTCCTCCTTTCCCTCCCTCCGACTCCTCTCCCTCCCTCCTCCTCCTCCTCCTCAGCTCCTCCTCCTCCTCCTCCTCCTCCTCCTCCTCCTCCTCTTCGCCCTCCTCTTCTAAGTATTGTTCTTCTCATTCTTAGTATACACTATCATTATTACTACTCTTGGTATTTCTGGCATTACTGATACTATTCTGAGTAGTAGAATTATTCGTCTTCATGTTCCTCCTCCTCCTCCTCCTCCTCCTCTGGACGGATCTGGAGGGCATGGCGCCGGAGGGGCAACTGCGCCGAGCTGGGGCAGGCCGCGGACGGAGGGGCTGCCGCGCGCGCACGCCCGGCAGGGGCAGCTCTGGGGGAGCACGGTACACCATAAACTTTTCAGCCGTCGGGGAGGCCTGCCCCCCGGGCGGCTGGAAACTCATTGACCCAAGTGTCACCGCGGGGGTGGAAAACCTGCAGCCGCCCGGGGGGCAGGCGTCCACGACGGCGGAACGGTCTATCTCATGCCGTTCCTCGCCCGCTACGGAGGGGCCGCCTGCCCATCTTCATGGAGTCGCTGAACGCCATCCACTCGTCACCGTCCTGAGGAAGGATTCTGGGAGTCTGGGGTAACTCAGCACGGGGGACGTGGGTCCCACCGAGGGTACCGGGTCCTGGACCCTGGTACCTTCCCCCAAGGCGAGGTATTCTGCCTGAGCCGCTTGCTGCCAGTCCCGGGGCCCGTGGAGGGCCCCGAGAGCCCGAAAACAGCGAGGAACCTCAGGACCCGTTTCCCTCAAGACCCTCTTGCCTCATGGCGAATAACCGGCACAATAACGCGTGGCATCCTTTCCGATAACTGCTGGGGTACCAGTGGAGGCCCACGAGCCTCCGCACCCCCAGGGCAGACGCCGCAGGAGGAGCACGAGCCTCCGCGGCGGCCCCTGAAGCAGGATAGAGAGGGGGGGAGGGGAGAGGGGGGGGGGGGAAGCTTCTGCCGGCGGCGGAGCAGTGTCCTGCTCGACCTCAGCACTGGCCTCGCACCTTGTGACCGCTCGGAGGCGGCCCGCAAGCGCCCCGGGCAGACTCCACGCTCCAACTGCCGGAGGCTCGCCCGACCCGCGACGCGGTCCCAGGATGGCCCAGGACCGCCTCGACACGGCCTGGCACGGGCAACGGCAAGCCCAAGACAGCTCCGAGGCGGGCCAGGATGACTCGCAAGTGCGCCATGCGCCCCCAGGAAAACCTTAACAGGACGGAGCACCGAGGACTTCGCCGAAACTCTTCGATCTTCAAGACCACCCGAGACCCGAGGCTGCAAATGGGGCCACATGGAACGCACGGGTTGTCCACACCAAAAACCGTTCCACACACAATCACTAAAAACTGTGCCTGCACCTGCACCTGCACATACACAAGCACAACCACACACACATTCAACTGCATCCGCAGTTTTATCAACGGACTGGCTGGACTGCAGCCGTAACCAGCCCCGACAGCCGAGTGATGCGAGTTCGCCAGGGTGCACGAGAAGGGCGATTCTACAGGGCAACGGCCGCGGAGGACATATGCAAACGCACTTGCGCATATTTATATATATATATATATACACATATACACACACATATATATATATAAGTGGCACGTGTGTGCCCAGGCTCATACAAAAAACTAAAGGGGCGTTTGAAGCAGGAGTGAAATGCAACATCGAAGTCGCACTCGAGCGCAAGTGGGGTTGCCACACCTTGCGATGTGTGTACCAGGGCCCCCAGGAAGCCTTAGGAGGCCCGACTTGGATACCAGAAGAGGCTCCAGGAGGCCCCAGGATTGTGAGTGTTGTGCGTGTGTGTGTGTGTGTGTGTGTGTGTGTGTGTGTGTTTGTGATGTATGCTTCGTGTGGTGCGTGCTTTTTGTGTGTTGTAGGTGTTGTGTGTGTGTGTTATGTTTGTCTAGCGTGTGATGTGTTGGGCGTGATTTGTGTCTCTGTGTGCATGTAGTTCTGAAGCCCCAGGAGGCCCCAGGAGGCCCCAGGCGGCCTCAGGAGGCCCCAGGAGACCCCAGGAGGCTTCAGGAGGCCCCAAGAGGCTCCAGGAGGCCGCAGGAGGCCCCAGGAGGCCCCAGGAGGTTTCAGGACACCCCCAGGAGGCTCCGAGGCGGGGTCTGGGGTGCCAGAAGGTTCAGAAGGCCCAGGAGGCCCCAGGAGGTTCCAGGAGGCCCCCAGGAGGCTCCGAGGCGGGGTCTGGGGCTCGATTTTGGAAGGATTTTTCAAGCGAAACCGCCATTCACTGAGAATCGGGGTCACAATTATTGAAATTACCATGTGTTTTTGAAGGTTTTATGTTAAAATGTTGAATTTCCCATGTGTTTTTGGACCCTGACGTCGCGATCTGCGTGAGGGGTGCCACTGATTTTCAGAATGTCGAGGATGTCCCGAGCGAAACGCCTAGAAAAATCGCGGACGCGTGCGCATTAATCGCCTCTGAGCTCTACTCCCTCGGAGAGGTGCGTATGAGAATAATACACATGTAACAGCTGTGACAAAGACGCCAGAAATGGTCCCGGTGACCCCTCTAAAAAACCATGGGCCCCTCGCAGGCAGCGTGCCGACATGTGCCCAGCCGCGTCGACGAGAACTTCCAGAAACGAAAGGAACAACACACCCCACCAGTCATCTGGGTGTAGGTGGTTTAATACATGTTGTGTTCTCTCTGCTCAGAGTCCCTCCCTGTTGGGGGGGCTATCAGTGTTCCCTATACGTATACACCCACCCCCTAGGCGACCTGCAGCCAAACAGGAACAATGCCGACCCTATGATCCCCACCCCCACCAATCCAAAACAGAAGCAACACAAACCACACTCTGCCTCAAAAATCGCAGCATGCGCAACCAAACCGATGCGCCCCCTCCGCTGTACCTGTCGACAAACAATACAAAGAACGCTTCGGGGCAACGTCTTGAGTGATGTTCGTGAGGCCCGCGAACACTTCGTACTGTTGTTTGACAAGGGCAGTGGGAGTGTCAGCATACTGCCTGCTGCGCGCAGGGTCACCATCCCGGACCAACAAAAATATACAGCATGCACCTCGCGGCTACATGTGGATCATGCCGGGCCACCCCGCGATCACTGTCAACCGTTTTTGGCGGAGACGGCGGGGATGGTGGCGTATGGCCTGCTGTGCGGCTGTGCGCAGGCCCACCAGGCACAATAATGGGCATTGGTTTTCGACAAGGATGATGGGGGCCGACATGCTTCCCGATGTATGCTGTCACGTGCGCAAGCGCACCTGACACACTCTGCACGTGCCCCGACCGTGGCGCACCTGCTCCGGCTAGACTATGCGGCGCTCCTGGCGCAAGTGGAGCACGTGGCGCATCTGGCGCACCAGGCGTGCCTGGCACGTTCGGGCCCCAAGTGTGCCTCGCGGGCGTGGCGCGCCAGGCACGTGTGGCGCACCTCGCCCCAGAGTCACGCGCATGCGGTCGGCTTTGGATCCCAGTAGCTGCCCATCCGAAGACGACCGCTGAACACATGCTGAGGCTCGGGTTCAAGATAGCTTCCGGCATGTCCCCAAGATGCTCCAAAACGGCCCCCAAACAGTTCCAACTGCCCTGTGAGCCGACAAAGGAAGCCCCAAATAAGCCAACATGCCTCCAAAACCTAAGGTGGCCCCGACACGGCCCAACTGAGCACCAAGGGGGGCACAAGAGGGACACAAGACGGCCCCGAAAACGCCCAAGAGCGCCCGAAAACGCGATCTCTGAGCCTCCGTGGGAGGGGGGGCTGAATTTTGGACCCCTCTCTTTTCAAACAGCGGGGCCCAGAATTGCCCCAAAACGCCTCCCAGACCCCCCCAAAGGAGCCCCACGAGGGCACCTAGACCCCCCAAAAGAACCTCAAGAGCGACAAAAGAGGGCCCAAGTGGCTCCGCGAGGACCCCAAAAAAGACCCAAGATGGTTCCACGAGGCCTCCGCGAAACCAAGTCCCAGACAGTTCTTACACTGCATGCGTCTACACTTCCCTGATCAATGCAACCCGCCTGGCGAAAAGCTTCTGGATGGGCCGGTGGCAAGTATTTGCGTCGCAACCGCAGGCGAAGGCGCGCAGCGGCGTCACAAGCCAGCTCGGGCTACGAACAAAACTAATTAACCTTGCGCGCGCAGAGGCGGCTGCAGGACTACCGCCAGGTGACGCTGGGCTGCGCCGAGGGCTGAGGCTGCAGGAGCTGCCGGGAGCTGCCAGGTGGCCAGGCAAGCGCGCGGGCATCCCAGGGACGAGACCGCCAGGAAGGATACATTGAACCTTGTCACACCAGGCGCCAGAGGCCGACGCGCCAAAGGCGTGGCGAAGCGCGGGGCTGCATAAACAGACCGACGTGCTAAGCTGCAGGCCAACGGGGATGAACACACATGGCCGACCAAGAAGGCTGAGCCACTCTTGAGTAAACCAGTGGGCCAGAGTCCCATCAAACCAGCGGCGCTGGTAGCGATACGTTTTGTTTGGTCTGCGGGCTCGCGAAGCAAGTCGAAAGCCGTCCGATCACTAGCCGGGCCGCGACTAGGCAGCAAGAAAGAGAAGGGCAAGCGAAGCGAGCGCGCGGGCAGCCACTCAGAAGTGCACCAGGAGCGGCACTCCCAACCTCGGGGATCTTCTGACCAGGGTCAATCCAGACCCGGGTCAGCAGGAAACCAAAAACTGCAATGCAGGAAAAACAAACTGCAACGCAGGTCCTCGCAAACCCGGGTCAGCCAATAGGCGCGGCCGCCTCGCGGCCACGAACGGCTCCCTAACCCGGGTCAGCCAGAGGGGGTCTTCGCAGGATCCTGCAGGATCCGGCGCCGTGGCTGACCCCCGTTTGCATTGACCCCCGTCTCAAGGCTCCCGACAACCCGGTGGCGTGGAAATCCCGGTGGCGACCATCAAGTAGGCGCAGCCAAAATGGCGCGGCGGCGCGACCATGAACACGCAAAGGTCGATCACCCGTTGTGAGTCGGCATAGGGCCCGACGGAAACGAGCAGGTCCGACAAGCACTTCAGGGCGACATCCGTGCCGTAGGTGAGCTGGTGGCGATACTTTTTTTTCGCGGGCGCAAGCGGAAGCGCAGGCGCCGAGTTGAAAGGTCCGGGCTACGGGCCGACCTAATTATCCCAGTGCGACCCTACCTAGGAGTTGGAGCATCTAGGAAAGCAACAGCTACATCTACATCAATGATATGCTGCGCTATGCTGCGCTATGCTGTGCTATGCTATGTTATGCTATGCTATGCTATGCTAGGGTATGCTAGGCTGCGCTATGGTATGCTAGGCTATGCTATGCTATGCAATGCGGCGCTATGTTATGATTTGATATGACATGATGTGCTATGATATGATATGCTAAGCTATGGTATGATATGCTATGTTGCGCTATGCTATGCTATGCTAGGCTATGCTATTATATGCGATGATGCGCTATGCTGTGCTATACTATGCTATGCTATGGTATGCAATGTTATGCTATGCTGCGCTATGCTGTGCTATGCTATGATATGCTGCGCTATGCTATGCTGTGCTATGCTATGCTGCGCTGTGCTATGCTATGATATGCTATGATATGCTATGCTATGCTGCGCTGTGTTGTGCTATGCTATGCTAAGCTATGTTATACTATGATATGATATGATATGCTGCGCTATGATATGCCATGCTAGGAAATGCTATGCTATGGTATGCTGCGCTATGCTTTACTGAGCTATGGTATGTTATGCTATTATATGATATGCTATGCTATGCTAATGTTGCGCTGCGCTGCGCTAAGCTAAGCTGAGCTAAGCTAAGCTAAGCTGAGATAAGCTAGGCTAGGCTAAGCTAAGCTAAGATAGGCTAGGCTAAGCTAAGCTAAGTTCAGCTAGGCTCAGCTAAGATGAGACAAGCAACGCTAAGCCAAGGGGACGTAACTGGCGGAACCGCGGGGCGGATACTGGGGGGAACGCCCGGGGCGAGGCCCACTGCCCGGCCCTTTAAGTCGAGAGGGTAAGAACCCTTCTAGGCAGAGCCTAGGTAGGGAATTAGCAACGCGCGAGCCTAAAAGCACAGCGCCGGTGGCGATACGCGACGCGTGAAGAATTACAGAACGCATAAATAGTCGAAGGTCCGCGCGGATGTCTTGGATCGGCGCCGAACCCCCTCCCTGGCGCGCGGAGAGTGCCAGCGGTGGCACCGCAGCTGCCGCCAGAGAAGTACAGCGCCGAC